CCCCCCCCCCCCCAAAATGTCATTATGTGTAGAGCTGTCAATCCATAACAGATCTGTTATAGCATATGTACTTGTTACGTGTCAAGCGCAGTGGCTATCTTGGTAGTGTGGAGTACTTGTTATGTGACAGGAAGTTATTTGATTGGCTTTTTTTAATCAGAAGGAAACGGGATTTTGCAAACTTGATAAGGTTAATTAGTGAGCTTGTGATATCTAAAAGAAAAGTAACTCAAGTCGCTATCCAGGGAGAAAGTAAAGAAGGACAATTCTGTGAAAGTAGGATACATGTGCCGTATCAAGAGGGTCATTCCTTTGAATGCTTCCTCATCTTTGAAGGATTTGATTTTAAACCACTTATTTCCTTTTCCAATTTGCAAAATTTCCTAAATGAGAGTTAAAACGGTCGGTGACCTTGTTCTGAATGAAGACGCTGTTATTTCTGTTCAACAATTGACACCTAAAATAGTGTTATCGGTTGGTGTAAGTTTTTTTTTTTTAATTTGTGGAGGCAAATCTTTTTGTAGAAGCCATACTGATTGTGTACTCTTGTAAGACTGATAATTACTACTGTGATTGTTGTCAGCTTTTGAGACGTTCCTGACATTTCAACCTTAGAGAATGAGGCTCTGTGAGCGTTTCAAGAGGGTCATTCCTCGAGCTCGATTCAAGAATATACGAAAGAAAATTTGAAAAAAAAAAAAGCTGTTGAATAGTCGTGGCTAAAGGAAGTGCTGGCATTATTTTCTAAACAGTTTCTGTCAATATTACTTGTTGAAAAATATTCATAGCTATTTGCAAAGCGTATTTCGTGAAGGAGAATGTTCACTCCTCTATTGAAAGGTAGGTGGAGTCAATGGCACGCCTTCTTAACGGCTGCTTAGGATTTCTGGGTAGCATTTTGCTAATGGCTTCAGACAATTCATTGGTCGACTGGAAAGTCTAAATTATGAGGAATGTGTCGAAATCGTGTAAATTTTATGAGATTTTTTTTAACAATTTCTTTGAGAAGGTTTCTATCACAAGTTATCATGGTGTAGACCGTGCTTAACAGCCGGTGCAATTGTGTCTTACGGGAAACAGCGTTGTATGTTGAAATAGCGCATGCACGTAGAATAACAATGTTGCCTCACCCAGTGTTTTCTCTGGCCAGGTGTATTGTTTGGAACACTTTCCTAGTCAGTTTGCCTAAGTTACAGTCTGTTGGATCAAACACTTTAATGTGTTACTCTAACGTTATATTTTTGTATTATTTTAGTAAATATATTTTCAGTGATTAGTAAACAAAGAAACCAGACTGTGTGACTCGTTATTTCAGTATTAAGCGGTAAACTTGAGTTGTAAGGATGCGAAGGTGCATGCCATGAAAGTGTAGTGAAGCGGGAACGGGGGGGTGGGGTGGATATGGAAGGGGTGAGGCATTGGGAAAATGGTTTGTTGAGTACTCTTTGTTTTGTTTTGTTTTTTTTTTTACGGTTGAACACTTCAGATTAAGGTCAGCGTAAGGACGGAAGAGCCCATACGTGTATTGGAAATTACTGAAGCATTCACTGCCGTTAAGTCAAAAGTCTGTCGAGGTGGCGGTGATCTTGTTGGTTTAAGGGAGATAATCTCGGTCATTTTTATTAATGCGCAATAAGTGATCTTTTACTAGTTAGAAGCTCGTCTACGGAGGGGAAAGGATCTTGTGAAGTTTTCATTTGGCGTTCAGAAGAAACTATGCCCACTATGTAGTACACATTCCAAGTAATTAGCGAATCTTTTAGCGTCATACGTATAAAAATTGCAATTATTTTTCTATTAATATCATTGGCTTTTTATAGCCCGTTCGTTCATGGCAGATGTTGGTTATTTTAAGTTGTGCTAAATTGACTACAACGGGCTTTATTTTGAATTTATGAATAAACGTAGTTCTGTCGCGTAGTATTCAAACTGTTCTAACCCAGAGCGCTGCACAAGAAGTGCACTCTTGCATCGCTCGGGATATCTGTATGTCATGAGATGATCATAGGCCTACGGCTTTCCAAAGCCAGTTCTTATCATTTCCCTTTCCGCTATCAGTCGACCACATTTTTATTTTATCCTCCTAACATTTTTGATGTCGCATATGCATGCTGCGTATGAAATCAATAATAAGGGCGTAATACACCCCACTAAGGACAGCGGGTTTGTTTTACAAGACAAATGGCTAGCTTCACGTAGCCTTTCTTATGATTTGTCAGGGATTTTTGGCAAAAGAGCTCTCAGAGCGTGAATTTAGGCCTTAATTGTGGTAAAGTGGGGTAATCAACGTTTGATAAGTGTTTTTGACCAGTAAATTTCGTTTCTTATAAAAGTGAATAGGGAAATAAAAACCTATCATCGCTGACTACCCTTCTGTATTGTACACACGTTGCGTTTGGACAACAACACTGATTCAGAGGGAGTCCTATAGTCACTTTTCGGGTATTTTAATCTTGTAGGGAACTTATTTTTATCGCAGTCAAGAAGAAAGGCACGAGAAGACCTCATCAAACTGTTACTAGCCCAGCTTGATAACTCGTAGGAAAATTTAGGTCGTCGAAAATCAGTCTTGTCAACAGAACACTAATTTTAAAGTTAAAGTGTGTCTGCTCGTCTTGGACTTCTTTTTTTCTCGTTTTTCCAGTTGAAAAGAGAATTTCCAAATTTCTGTTTCTTTTTCTCTATCTGTGGATTAGTGTTTTTTCGCTTTTCCTTCTCCTGTCGCAAGTATTTCTTGTGAAGCGCCACCCTTCGGAAGACAACATTCAACGCCTCCTGAACATTATCGTAATTTTCTGCAGCGGAAACTTCGAAGAACATGCATCCGAGCTGTTCAGCAGCCGATTGGCCCTCCTTTGTGGTTACTGAAAAGCATAAACTAAGGATGAGAGGCTTGTCAATGTTTGGGTCAGTAGTATTTTGGAATGGTCTTTTTCAGGCACAAAGGGTCAGAATTTCAAAAATTCATTTCCGGATGTTCAGAAAACCCACCAAGGGTTAATGATCGATGGTTTCATTTTTTTTGCAACCACGTTCCGTGGTGTATTCTGTATCATAATATTTATTGAATACCTTTGACATTTGTCTTCCGTTTCCTCTCTCAAGGTCATATCAAAATTATCGTGACTTCTAAAGTTTCACTGATCATCACGAAGTAGTTTGGGTCATGGTTGACGGATTTCTTTTAAGGTTTCAGTCTTTGAACCCGACAGGCTGTTTGTCTGAGGCGTTTTTTTTAAGACATCTGCTTTCTTACCTTTTCTGAAATGCTCCAGATCTATCTTGTTTCCCACCAGAGCGACATGCAATTCATCTGTGCCTTTGCCGTCGTAGATTGCTTCAACCAGATGTATGGCATTATTAAAGCTGTTTTTGTCCGTGATGGAATACACCACGAGAAAAGCGTCGGCCCATTTGATGTCTTTATCAACTTGAGACGTATCGCTCTGGAAACAAGGGAACAAGATATCAGAGCAAGAAAAGAAAAAATTCCATAGAGGCCTATACAAGAATGAACCAAATGGACCACATCGTCTGAGGCTTTTGTTAACTGCTTCACCCCCTGGATAGGGTGCTCTCCCTAACGAGTAACTTCCACGTGCTTTGGAAACTCATCTGGTTCCATGGCACGTGAAAGTAAAACCCTGTTATTATAGAACCCCAATTTTTTAGCGACTTCTTATTCTAAAAATAGCTGTCTCTTCTATTTTGATCCAAATGTTCGTGCAGAATTGATCGCAGTTGATTGATTGCAGACGGAATTCACGCACAACTGTCGCATATATAAATTATCAACACAACTTGGTATCATTTGAATTTGAAAAAGTTTGTCAGCAATTAAAGGATATTTGAATTGGTTAATACAAAACATACATGCGTTTGTCCTGAATCCACTCAAATTTTCACAGAGTTTGGGGTCTTCATATTGAATTAAGCCTTCTTATAGAAATAAGATTCAATTTCGTGAGTGGTTCTCAGTTTCCATTGAAGAAATACTTTTCTTGAAATTTTTGCAAGGAAAGTCGAGTTGAACGAAGCGGCTTGCAGAGACTGAATTTCAGAAATTTTTTTGCTCGTGTTTTCTACCTTTGCTCTTCCTCTTCTAAACGCACCATTGATATTAAGTGGATAATACGGTTTTTCAGAGCAACACGCTTTTCTGACCTTTATGTTAAAAATTGTAATAATCGTCTCGAGGTCAAGTAAAACAGTTTTGCTTTAGGGTATCTTTCTTTAGTAAGGTTAAATCAGTGGCTTCCCAGCACTTTTGTGGAATAAATGTCAAGTACAGTCAATGAATTTTTAACGTCATGCATGAAAATAAATCCTCCTTTCCTTTTTTTTTCTCAAAGTCGTTCTGAATTATAAAAACTACTGTTTGAAAATAAATTTCGGCTTGCAATAAGGAAGCATGTTTTTGAGTCGATGTTATTTGAATCATTCCGGTTGCGAAAGTCTAAATGTGTGTCGAAAATCAAATTCGTGTCAATGATTATTCACTTTCTTACAAATTATTTGCATATCTCAAAACGCAAAGTCGCCGCGGCTGACGTATTCGTAATTGTCATGTTTCGTTCTCGTGACTTCCGTTGGCAGAACATCTTCATCCTTTTACCGAGACCTCTCGTTAATTTTTTTTTTTTTTTGACTTATGAGCTAAACGGACGCTTTTATGATTTCTATTAAGCAGAGAGCCATCTGAAAGCAATGTTCATATCCATATAAGGATAACAACACCTGCCACGTGTCTCGGGGAAGGCAATGATGTTTTTAAATGGCTTTCTCGACTCAGCGTGATATTTATTTTTAAAAAAAATCGGATGCGCTTGTTGGCATTTGGATAACGGGAAAAATTCATCTTTCATCTTCGAAAGCGAAGATCGTCGAAGGACTCTACTGTATAATTTTTTTTTTTCTGAATTTCACGTGTTTCATTCAAATTGATTACCAGAATCGAAAGTGTGTGTTCCTCAGACATAAAAACCATCAGACAAAGTAATGGATTTGAAAGAAACAGATAGATATCTCCGCCAGCCACGAATTAACTACGAAGAAAATCTTTACAAGCGAATGGATGATTTTCGTCGGCAGGAGATATTGTGCGACACAATTCTTCAAGTGGACGGGCAAGAATTTCCAGCCCACAAAAACGTCTTAGCGGCATGTAGCGAGTATTTCCTTGGTTTGTTTACATCCGACATGAAAGAAAAACATCAACTTGAAGTCAAACTCGAAGGATTTCGAGCCTTTGTGATGAATGATCTGCTCCATTACATATATACGGGAGAAGTTGAAATAACCGATGAGAATGTCAAAGAACTGGTTTTCGCTGCTGATTACCTGTTAATAACAAGCTTAAAGGATAAAGGGAGTGAGTACTTAGAAGGAATTTTAAATCCTTCAAATTGTCTGTCAATGAGAGCGTTTTCAGAGAAATTTGACTGTGAAGAACTCATGGACAAGTCTGAGAGCTTTATTCTTGAGAACTTCGTGGCTGTTTCGAAATCGGAGGAATTCCTGCATCTTTGCCTCTCTGAGATTGAGAAGCTTATCACTTTAGACGACGTTATTGTGGAGACGGAGGAACAGGTGTACGAAGCGGTCGTTTCGTGGGTCAAACATGACGTGAATAACAGGAGAGAGAATTTCCCGCGGTTGCTCTCTCAGGTTCGCTTGGGTTGCATGTCAAAATATTACATAGCAGAATATGTTGAAAAGGAAGAACTGGTAACCAATAACCTTGAGTGCACCAAGCTTCTTTACGAAGCCATGAAGTCATATGCATTACATGGACCTCAGCGACAGCCAATCAGGGATATCTGCAAGATGCGGAAATGTTTGGATTCCAATGTAGATGCCATCATTACGATCTGGGGACCTGGAGACGAATTGCGTTCCTCAACTCAGTGTTACGTGCCTTCTGTCAATCAGTGGTACAATTTGGCGCCAATGTTAATCCCGCGCTTCAGTCACGGCGCTGTGGCATGCGAGGGGTTTATTTTCACAGTAGGAGGAGTCTCCCTGAATGGGCATCTGTCAAGCATGGAGAGATATGACTACAGGTAGGTTATTGTCAGGTATTAATCGTTATTTATCCACAGTGGGAGTGACGCAGTGGCCCGTTGTTTAACGGAAATGAATCCAGGAGGTCTGAATGTGAGCCATGGCCGGTTCAATCCAGCGCACTGTTTTAAAAACCCGAGAAGATGTTGGGGGGGTGGGGGGCTGGGGTAAGTTTTAGTCACTTTGAGAAGCTAAGCTACTCGTTATAAAGATAATTTTGATGCTTCTTTACATGTGATTTTCATAGAACTAACACATGGGCAGGAGTAGCACCGATGGCTAAGGAAATCTCTGCTCTTGGTGTGGCTGAACTAAATGGTTCTTTATACGCAGTAGGTGGCTGGCACAGAGGAAGACCGCTTAACACCGTTTTGAGGTAATCGAAAATGTTGTGTTTTGTAATCAGGATATTGATTATTGTTGGCCAGGTCATGTGTAAAGAATGTTGTGCTCCTATGAAAGACTGAGGTAAAAAGAGATCATTTCTTTTTTGAAGGTACTATCCGAACTCGAACATCTGGGAAGCGGTCGCCCCAATGACATCAAACAGAGGTGGTCCATGTGTAGTATCTGATAAATACCTTTACGCCATCGGTGGAAAAACAGAAAACGATAATGCCAATGACCCGTTCAAGTACCTGAGTACGGTTGAAAAATATGATCCCAGAACAAACACCTGGACCATGACCACACCCATGCAGGTCCGTAGAGCATACGCATGCGGAGTAGCTGTTGGAGGAAACCTTTACGTAGTAGGGGGAACCCAAGATGATTTGTACTCGTCGCACAGCTCTTGTGAGGCTTTTGACATAGAGAATAACACCTGGACATACATAGCTAATCTGTGCATATCAAGAGCGCTGGCAGGGATAGCTTTCGTAGGAAATCATATCTACGTCCTCGGAGGAAAGAAAAATTCCCGCGAAAGAACAGACAAAGTAGAATTTTACGATATCGATCTTGACGTGTGGAAGGTTGTAGGGTCGGTACCTAACTGTATGGGTGGGATACAGTGCTCAGCTGTTTCTCTTTCCACCCAATTTCTCAACTCTCTGACAAAGATTACTTAAAATTTTTTTTTCCTTATCAGTACATGTAAGATTGACAGGCTTTCGTTTGAACGCCACAATGTCCCAATTCATCTCTAATTTTCGAACTTTTTTTTGAGATTAACCCTTTTTTTTAAACGCGCAGTGCATACGAAGGCGTGGGCATAACGTTGGATTCAATTTCTATGAGCTGTTGATTTTGAGGACTGAACGACTTAGCAGTTTTTACTTGTCGTCGTTTTGAACTTGGAGCCTTAGTCCTTTTCGTGAAAAATTCGAACATTTTGGCAAAAGATTTTTCGAAACTTTAAAAACATAGCAGATTGATTTCTCTTTATGTATGGGCCTCAAATATAATTAGCACAGGATGATTGTAATGACCGTGATTATAGAAGAAGTTAGATATTATTGTTAAGCTCAGAAATCTGTATATAAGAGCATATATGTACATAAGCATGGAGTGTGTCCAAACAACAAGTCAATGAGTAAAATTCGATAGTTGACTTTCTATGGCAAGGCATATAGTAAGATAAAAACAGATGAGATGTATGTAAAAAACGACAGAGGAACAACTATCTTTTAAAATATCTACAAAATAAATAGGGCGATGTGAACGTTACCTAATAAAAAATGAATTAGATTCAGTCTTTTGTCGGAGGTAAGCCAAATCCAAACGTCACCTACGCTTAATTGATGTTTAGTAAACAAAAGAAGCTTTTAAAACTTGGCGAAGCCGTCAGATAGACCTTCAGAATACATTAATTCGTACCTTTTCAATGGTATCACGAAACTCAAATGTTAGAAATTCATCGTCCAGCTTGATTTTGTGACTGTAGGTTAATTCTGAAATCAAGAATTAGAGAACAAGAGTTTATCGTAGGTATTTGAAAAGAATGCGAACAATTATGAAAGGTTAAAATATTCAAAATATGAAATTATCATAAGCTGACGTACAAAATCTGTTGATGTTTATCTAAGAATAACTTTATCTGTTCATTGAACTGAGAGCTTGTGCTCATAATTTAGGGCTGAGGCTTAAGACAATTGTTTATTTCAGTGTGAAAGAAGTTCTGCTTGGTTTTGATCAATTCCCACAGGCAGACGAATACAGGTAAGGGAGTAGTGGAGTCCAATGCTACATTGCCATGGAAACGTCTGTCTTGAAGCGGCTTTAAGTTCGAACTAAGATCTTGTCATTGTGTGGTTTAATCCACTTTAGCAGAGCATTAAATGTTCATTACACAACTTAACACCAGGAAATGAGCAATTATTGAGATGAACATGTGGCATTGCTGATTGCTTAAAAACAAAATTATATTTCAGCAATGCGGGAAAGTTCAATTCATTGTTCGATTCTCTTTTTCGGTTTCCATTGCGCACCAAGGATTGTTCTAATCAGTGACCCTCAATAGAATATTAAAAGTTGCGTGTATTGTGTTGTTAAGTAAATACAGAGAGCCTGAGTCACTTCACTAATTTCTCAACGGTTGAATGTTCACTGCTTGAACTCAAGCACGTGGCCGAATGACCCCGCAAGCTCCATCTCTGCGTCAGCTTGTAGCATGCTTCATTCCGTGAATTTTGGCCAAAATAGGCAAAGAACGGAGAGCATGAATCGAATGTACTAATATGCGTGTTAGTTATCTAGTAAATTAAGAAAGAGTAACCGACATGGTTCAGAGAACACAAACATTAAAGCACAAGAGAGTCGGTGATTAACACAATGTTTAACGGTCGGTTGGCCAGGACCATGTGCGACCGAAACAATTTGTCGCTCCAATTGGTTTGACTAAAAACTGTCTACTAACGGTTTTGGATGAGTCTTTTATATACCATGGGGAAGAATGATATGTGATGTCAGTCGAAAATGAACCCTCAGAGGCAGGAATACTAACCTATTTTAAGGGTTCAGTCGGTAAACGAGACATGATGTAGGTGTAGAGCACAGACGGAGGGACAAGTTAAGGAGTTTAAAAAGAAACTTTTTTCGAGGCGCTCAGACACATCGCGCTTCTTTTGATGCTAAGCGTGGCCATAAAATTTGTAATTGAATTGGTTTGCGTGCGACGTTGTGGATAAAACAAATCATGGAGCTCAAGTTAGTTGATCACTTTAGAGGTGCATGCGTGGGTTGGGAGAAAAAATCTTGCTACCATTTCCAAACAGTTCAATTCAAACAATAACAGAAAATGTTCAGTTTTGGTGTCGCAGAGAAACAACGCATATTGATAAATTCTTATTATTAAATTCTCTACTTACGCATAAGTGACTGATATTCGCCAATAAATCTCTTCGTCAGAAAACGAACAGTTAAGGCTGGTGATAAAAAATGATGTAAAATGTTAAGACTACTATAACAGAAATCTTAAAGAAAATTAAAATTACAGCATCTCCCTTACCCATTTTGTCCAGGAAGAACTTCTTTTGCTTGAGAGTCATAAAAACCCAAAACCAAAATAATCACAATGTATCCAGGGGTTTCGGTTCGCCCCCGCCTTTACAAGCCTGCCCCTGGCTTGCTTAGGGGCATTGTTTCCGTAAGGCAGAACGTGTTCCTTTTCTGACGAGTCGAACATATTAGAATCTTTTTTAAGACCCGGTCATTATTCCCCTCTTCTTATGGAGGAACACATTCTGCCGTAAGGAAACGAGTTGAAGAAAAAATGGGGACGGACTTGTCAAGGTTGATGACGCGAGCTTTTTGTAATGGGGGCGAACTGGTATGGGGTGAACCTGCCATGGGGCGAAACCTATTGAGCGTTATGAAGACCGTTCATCGCGCTCAATACGGCAAAACCATTGCTGGATTACTTTCAACACTCCATCATTTTCTAGTGCGCAGGTTGTTATCTAACACGCGTTGTTTGCTCATTTTTGTAAAACCTCGATCTCTACTTTCTAGTCGGCTCCAACTCATCACTCACTTAGCTAATGTTCATTGTTGTGCATTGTTATTGTTCATTGTTGTTATTATTGCAAGGATTCTATGATTTATCAATAACGCGTATTTGACGCTTGTTTTTGTTCTCTTTTACATTATTTCCCTGGAATCCATCGGCCTGATGAAAAGAGAAAAAAAAAACATGCACGAAGGTGTCAATTATCTCATTTGTTTTCAGGCGAACAACATATGGTAAACGTATCTATTTCCAGTGCGTGACACATTTTGTTTATTTTCTGGTCTGGAAACTAAAGTTGATTTCTTTCAGGTTCCGCTTTTCTGGCACGGAAACCACGTACTCTAAGAATGATTTGAGTCAGTACACGTAATAGAAAGTGTTACACGAACTTTGTACATGTCCTCAACTGGACAAGAAGAGGAGAAAGGAAGACGCACTACTTCGAAGTATAAAGAAAAGCTGAAGCAAACATTTGCAGTTGGAATGAGGAGCTGATGTCGCTAAGTGCTGAGAGGGGCTGGCTGGGTGGGTGGGTGGTAAAAAGAGGAGAAGATTTAGGACATTTGTACAGTTTGGATATACTCCCCCATGTATCTTTTCACGCTACTAGTACATTAATAAAGAAAGGTGGAAAATTCACGAATTGAAATGTAGAAAATGGCTCAGAACATTGGATAAATTACACTTGTTATTATTGCACAATTTATCAATTAAAACCTGCATTAGCTTCTTTGGTCTTCTGTTTAACGGACACCCTCTATTGAACGGACACTAGCCAGATTCCCGTGAATTTCCGCCTAAATCAAGTTTCACTGTAGTACATTCCCCGATTGCAGCCCATAAAAAAAACATATGTAAATGAGATAATATTATAAAACCGGATAAAATTTGGTAATTGCATTTTGCTTCCGAATAAAAGATCTATGATAACGAATCTCTCTATAGCGAATCACTTTCAACAAAGAACGGTGTAACGTCTAATAAATGGATGAATTTGTTCACGACAATATTATCACGTTTCGTCGGTCAAGATGATTGGGATGGGGTAGTGGGGTGGGGGGATGTTTGGGGGTCCTCTGACAGGAAACACCAAAAAAGCAGAATTATTATTAGAAGAACACTTGATCACTGGCAGAACAGCTATGAAATGTGTGTCATCAGCAATAACCAGGGCACAGGGTTTAAAAATTATTCGCAAAATGTACGTCTGATTGATTTCTAGCACATGACCATCGGCAAACTGAATTCAATAAGTTTCTATCATGTTATTGTCCTAAGGTTATAAACACAAACAGATAAAATCAATACAAACTCGTTAACCGTTTCGTGACTGTTTTGTTAATGAATACTTTCAACAAAGAGTCCTAAAGTACTGTTTTGAGTGGTCATCTTTTAGATAGCAAGTGATTCTATATATGGATAAAAGAAACATATCTTCCTTTTTTTCCTTATTCTGCATAAATACCACATTTTCTGTACACGCTGATTTAATTTGCGCTTGATAATGGATCACTTTCAAATGCCGCTTACAGAAAGATATTGAGTGTGAATTGGCTTTAAACGCTATCTGCAAACTTTTTCGGAAAATAAAAAGTCATATAGCTAAAATCTGCACAGTGCAGCTACAGAACTTTTTTTCAGTTTGTTTTTGAAAAGTGAATGCACGTAACACAAGAAGTTGACGCGAATTAAATTTTGCTTGACCGACTTCTTTCCTTGCGGAGTGGTACGGTTGTGTTTAGTCGATTGCGGTTTGATCAATTAACATTGAAACCACTCGCTGCACTTTCGTGGGAAATCAATCTTTTATGTTCTCTAAAGCTCAGAACTGTCTAATATGAAACTCCAGATCGTTCAAACAACCCTGTATCGTTGCGTCTCTCTAACGGATTCAAAGATAATACGTTTCCCCTACCTGATTTGCCGACTCCTTTGCTTCCTAAAGTCAAGAATCTCGCCTCAGCGGGTATCAGGGAATTCATCTGTGATTCTCTTACATGTCCGCAAAGGATCTAAAAAGTTTCTTTCGATGCTTGTTTTGGTGAAAGGAATCTTTCACATTCCTCTCCAAGCTCACACTATGTTTCATGCCCGCCAGCAACACATTGAAAGCTTTTTTGACAAGCTTATTGTCAGAAATAATACATCTTTGTCAATACTGATACCTTTAGGGCCATTCTTGATGGCAGGGGGCCGATGAAAACGCGTTATTTTTTTCTTCTACTGACAGTTTCTAAGGGAAGTAAATTCCTCGTATAGCGTAATTTTTTGGCATAAAAAGTCAATATTCGTCAAGTCTCTGTGTTGAAAAAGTTACTTTTCATTTCACGCACCTGAATAATTCAGCATTTTCTTTAATAATAGCTTTTGGGTGTATTTAAATTTTTGGGCGATAACATCTTAATTGCTGATGATCACCGGTGATTGAATGGTATAAACATTACCAGAAACATAAAATATCACAAGCCGGTTACTGGTAAAATGAGCTACAAATGAAACTTCCCTTATGTTGATTCAGTAGATGTAATTAGCCATATGTTTTAAAAACGTTCTAACTACACAAGAAAATTACAAAACGTCGAATATTTTGTTAACAAGTTGTCTGTTGACTTTCGATTTCTTAAATAGGTTTCTATAAAGCATAATATTCCTTCTTTGCGGGGACCATATGGTCGAATCAAGAGAGAGCGTGAGAGGGTCGTGGTCTACTTTTTTTTCTGACTTTTTTTTTCTTGTCTTTTAATTTTGTTCTTTGACGTTAATGTTAATGTACTGTTTTTATGGAGTCAAGTAAAAGAGTTTGCCTGCCCTTAGGCAAATAGTAACTATGGCCGGCTTCACGAGCGGGTAAGACAGTGCGCAGCCTGTGATCTGATTGGCTATTCGAGGGCGAGACACGCCCTTCTCCATTCCCCGCGATTTTCCTCGTTGTCCCACGTCCTCACAATTTTGAGTGTATTTCATTAGTGAGATCTTAAGCCATAAAGTAAATCCATCATTTTCTTAACCTCGTAAAGACGGCTGAATTCTTTTCTGCTGCATATAGAGATTTACTTAAAATTAAATTTACCACTGTAGTGAAATTTCCTTGCCATCCCGAAGAGGATTTCTGTGCGCCAGAAGTCAGTTATTACTGGTAACGCAGGAGTTTTTCAAATGGAATTTCCATTTACTTGTAAACTGATGTATTTTTAGAATGTTATTCATATATACCATGAATTATCGTTCAGATTATCCAGCTCCCGTAGCACAGTCGGTTAGAGCGTCGTACTTATAAGCAGTGCCGGCGCAATACCCCAGCTGGTGCTGAAGTAATGCGAAGGTCGGGGGTTCGAGCCCCCCCGGGAGCAAATATTTTGTTAATTGGCCTTTCCAGGCAACTTGAGAATTCCTTCATTTTCCACCAAGTTTAGAAAATTATGATCTATTAAAGGAAAACATATAGATGACGTAAACATCCTTTTGCTTCTTTATTTATGAAGTAATCAGGTAACAGATTCGATGTTGCCGTGTATCTGTTCACCTCGTTTAATCTAGTTTCAAAGCAAGTTTCTGGGCGCCTTCTGCGTGTTCGGCCAACATCTTTTAGGATCAGCAATGTCGATAGCGTCATGTTTTGTTAATAGAATAAAAAAGATGATGATTTTTTAGCTCGGTTAAGAAATAAAGAAAGATGTTTTTTCGTCTTGTCTCGAGCTTGGGACATGATCCTAGCATTATGCAGGACGCATGTCATATATGAACTTCGTAATGGGCCTTGCGCACCATAGAGTTTCTGCGGCTCAGCGGTAGAAAAATCATCTTTGTCTATTTTAGTGGCTCATTATTCATCAATTTTTTCTCAGCGAAGGCCTTTCGTCTCTTCTATTAGTGCTTTGCCACCTATTTTGGGCTCCAGAGTACAACTTAAAAATTAAATCTTTCAGTTTCTCACCAAAGCCACCTCAAGTCTTCCACATCTTAATACCAGCATGGTCTACTGAAATAAAAAAGTCGCGTCGACACAAAAATGAACATAGCGTAGAACTGAATAGCAGTCCTAAGGATGATGTTGGAAACACAACCAGTAATACTTTGTATATTTCGCGCAGTGCCATCAGCATGGGCGGTAAGAACGTTGTACACCTCTAAGTACTATCGGCTCAATCTGCCGCTAACGAGAGCGGTGAGGCAATATGAAGGTCAGGGGTTTGGGTTTTCGAGGTGTTTAGGCTGAAAAAGTTCCCTACAACTTGACGCCGAATGTTGCTGATCTCGCAACAACGAAATGAAAAAAGAACTAAGCTAGCGCTGCCAGAATTATTTAGACCAAATACATACGAAAAGAACTTCCATAAATGTTCATTGTTTTAATTAAAAAGCAAATAAGGAGTGGGATGACACTGATCTCCACTCACTATGGCTAAAAATTTCCCTGATTCATCAATCATCCAAAGTATCAAAGTGCAAATTAAACAGGGTACGGCATCGAAATATGGTTCCGTTATTTCATTGCTAAAAAGTTTACTTGTCTCTGTTAAATGATGGACAAACTTTGAATGGGAGTCATCTGAGTGTCCTGTATTTGCGACATTTACTGTTTGTGTGCCTCATTTTTCAATTTTTTTCCAATTCTTTATGAGTTGTGCGTTGAGCAGGTGTTTCATTTATTTACATCGAGGTACAATTAAATTATCTTCAGTCTTTATGCTCAGTAAAACGAACGAATTAGCGGGAGACACACATGAAAACTGTCTTTGTGACCTCAAGTAACGGACCACGGTCCACACGGAAACTTTCCAGGTCCATTTAAAGTCTCCTAGAGGAATATCCTTGAATACACTATTGTATCTGTGAAGCATTCTATCAGGGCTTCTTTTTTCGTGTCCAATAATGTCTTTGTTGTTTAAGAAACATGAGTTCTAAGCCTGACTTAAGTTCGGAGTCTGACGGAAGATATTGGTCTTCAACCAACTCATCTTCAAAGTCAGCTTCAGTGAGTTCCACTTCATCTTCTGAGGTGGTGAAGCTACTTCTCCGTGAGGACGCCGTGTAAATTTGTTCATCCAGTGAATCTACGTTGATCCCATCTCTGTTTGACCTGATATGTTTTATGACAACTATACCGACCACTGCCCCCAACACTACGATACCCAAGACGATCCCAGCTGTTGTTACAACTATTGATGTCGTGTTCTCGCGTTCGGGGATCTGAAAATGAAAACATGATATGTCACATATGGTTCAGTTGTTAACGGGTGGTGGAACTAATTGATGAATCAATATTTCAATTAATCAGTTAGTCGTGATCAGTCAGTCATTAAATCAGTCGGTCATTAAATCAGTCAGTCATTTAGTCAATTAATCAGTCAGTACGTCAGCCATTCCGTTAGTCAGTCCGTCAGCTGGTCGGTCAGTCAGTCAGTCAGTCAGTCGGTCATTCAGTCAGTCAGTCAGTTAGTCATCAGTCAGTCATTCAGTTAGTCATCAGTCAGTCATTCAGTTAGTCATCAGTCATTCAGTCAATCAGTCAGCCAGTCAGTTAATCAGGCAGCCAGTCAGTCAATCAGCCAGTAGGTCAGTATGTCAGTCAGTCACTCGGTCGGTCAATCGGCAGGTCAGTATGTCAGTAAGTCAGTCAGTAGGTAGGTGAATATGTCAGTCAGTCACTGTTATCAGCTAAGTTAGTCTAAGCAGTTATGCTATCAGTAGCTAGGTTGATCTTGACTAATACAGTCAATAACTTTAAAGATGGCTCAAATCAAGGCGTGACTGTAAATTAGCATATGGGTCCCCTCTAAATAGGCAAAGATTAGTTTCACATTAAAGGGTGGCGATAATCAGTTTTTTCGATGGCGACAAATACGTAAGGATCTAGAAAAAAAGTTTCCATTAAGGTGTAGGATCCCAGAAAGCACTAGTCAAATGCCCCATTATGTCCCGGCCGGGTTTACACCCACTGGTGCATAATAAAAGTATGAAAATAGATTGTTTGACATACCCTTATAGTTTTAATGATCGTCTTCGTCCTCTCATTTTTGTTTGTTTCTTTGTTATGCGGAGCAGTACTGGCAAGGAATGCGTCCATCATTTTCTCGGAGTTTCGCAATTTTTCCAGTTCCTCCAGTTTATCGACTTGTTTGTTTTCCGATTTCGACTTGTGCTTTTTGAGTCCATCTTTTAGAATGAAATTCTTGGAAGAAGATGAGCTCTTACTTTTATTGTCTGCAGAGACTAAGGAGACAAGACAACGCTTTAGCGTAACAGAACAACACGTAAATGAAGGTTGGAGTGCTTTAGCCGTGAAAGATTGCAACTTGACAAAAATTGCTTGTCAATAAGTCTCAAACGCTCATTTATGCACAGACATTGGGTGTTGAGTCTGTAAGATGCGCTATCAAATTGCTACATTGGGACCTCGATTAAACGAAGTGCCAAGGGATTGTGGAAATTGGTTCGTTTTATGGAGGGTTCGTTATATCGAAAACCTCGATTTCACGAATTTGCAGAAAAACAACCAAAATGTTCGTTATATCGATGGCTGGTTGACAGTTGCTGTTTTGTTTTATTTCTTTTTTTCTGTTTTGTTGTAGTTGTTTTTGTTTTATTTGTGATGCGACGTCGTGCTACCCAGCATCTCGGGATCGGAACGATTCCTTTAAATGATATTTGTGTTTTGATGTCTACGTAAAGCTACAGTACACTGTACAGGTCTGTACATAGCTATAGCAACTTTAGCCGGGCTGAAGAGTATCGTTCGTTATACCGAGAACTTCGTCATATAGAAGTTCGTCAAATCGAGGTCCTTCTGTAAATCTTATCCTAGGTTTGATTGCGTAGCCTCGATTTAAAAAATGTGTTTGGTTCATAAATTGCGCTTACGGACTGAAAACCTTTAAACAAGAAGTTATCCTACTAATATTGATTTCTCTGCTCAGCTCAGTGGCAGTTTATTGTTTACATGGGATACATCTTGGCGACGGACTCTCAGATAACGAGCTGTAAAACTTCCCTGCACTCCTAACAGCTAGTAACACCGTGTAACCATCGCTCGAACGATCAAGCAAATCCGCGATCACAGGTTACAAATTGATTCAAGGTTATATTTTTCCAGTATCTATATTCCGATGGGAGGGAAGACTCAGACAACGTTTCTTTACCTGGCATCAAAGTGCTGTTTTGTCCCTCCGGTGTGTAGTAACATAAAAAAAACATGTGGTCTTTGTCTGCTCGGTGTATTCCGAATGGAAATTCGCCACCTTCGTAATCGATATTGCCTCGGTCTTCGTCATCAAATTTGACGAACTCTGTCTCCACTCTCATACCTTTAACCTGAAGATAATAATGAATACACAAACAACTTGAAAATTAATTTTTTCCTTAAATTAGTAGTTTTAAAGGTTTGCGCGAACGTTGGTAAAATTATTGTTTTCTTTATGACGACTCACCTTCTGGCAAAGATAAGACTCGTAAGCAAATAGTAAGAATGGAGCTTTGTTGGGCAGAGTGATCTCTTTGCTGGCACTACCAGTTGTGCTGCAGCAAAAGAAAATCTTGGAGTCTTCGTTGAAAAGACCTTCGGGTAAGTCTCCGTATTTAGAATTTTTATTGTCCTTGTTTTCATCATCCCATATAACAAATCCCTCGTCGAGGCCAGTGGGGCAGCGGGATCCCTTTTTGTAAATGCAGTATTTTCCATCTGGCCATCTGAGAAAGGTTAATGCGGTGATTAGGAGCTTTTAAACAGAAAAAGAGTCAACATGACAAAAAGCAGCATGACGTACAGTACGTAGCCCTTTACACCCTAACATCAGCACGTATATTCTCCATACTATTCTCTATACACTTCCTAAGGTGCTGTATTAGAATTTATTTAACAATCCTGCAAGAGCTTCTCTATTCGGTGATCATTTCCCTTGTTCTCGTGACCTTAATGTGTGATTCAGGGGTGATATTGTAAGGAGAAATGAGATGTAATAAAATATGTGTTTATTGTTAATCGTGGTGTAAGATAGGAGTTGAACTTTATTCGCCTTTGTCTCACGATAGAGTCACTTTTGA